GAAACATTGGAGGATGAAGATTTTGTCATTAAGTCGATATTCAGCAATGAAGCAACATTTTTACATATCCGGGAATCTTGGTGAAATAGTGAAAAAACTTGGTGAGTTTGTGATTGTTCTCATATATTTTTCATGTGTGTATGTGGTTTGAAAATTTAGCCTTTTCAAAATGAATCATTTATGCTAAAGAAAAAGAAAAAAAAAAAAAAAAAAAAGTGGCATAGAGCTAAATCACACTTCTACTCATTAGGATCTAAGAATTTGAGAAGTCAAAATAATTCCAGAGTTTCTCATAATCTTCTTTTTGTCTCATAAAATTGTTAAAAATGGGTTGAAGGTTCTTGAAAGAATCATTTGTGTAGAACTCCAAACTGGTTTAATCAGACTTTGTAACTTTGAACAAAAAAGGCACCTAATCAACCAAACTCATGTTTAAAGGATAAAATTGTCCTTAACATGAATAAATTAACACTAATTTTATTGTACTTTTTGTTTTCCAAGAAATCAAAGAAATGTGTGAGTATTAAAAATAAGGGGAAAAAAAATGACAGTGCACCTGTCATCCACTCTTTAATGTGGTGATTTGTTAACCAGCTATAAAAATATAAAGTTTTAACCATGATGTAAGAAAATACCATTTAGTAATTGATATGTATGATTGGCATAAAAAGGTGGATCGCAGATCATCTCATTAATCTGGTTCAGAGATCGTCTCTTTTTTGTTTTTTGAAGTTGCTGTAATTTTAATTGATTTGATTAAAATTCATGATTTTATTACCCTATAAACCTAAATACCAGTAGGAAAATATGTGTGTATATAGGGTGTAACATATATCTACCAGGACAACCCTGTCAAAATATGACTGCACATGTGTGAAGAGCTAGGAATCAGCCTATCAGAAAACTGTTGACCATTGGCCTGTGCATTTAAAGAAATAGAACCTTTCATCAGTTTTTGCTACAGTACCTATTGAATGTTTCTTGAGTATCTATTTCAGTAATAGTAATGATCAGTGGAATTATAGGTAAGGAGGATAAAATTTAGTTTTAACGAGATAATGCAGCTCCAAGCACAAGTATGGCTGTACAATACAATAGATTGATAACGTTTCATAACACGTATTGATGCATCATGAAAGTTTTTCTATTAAGCCTTAAAATGTGAATCCAAGCAGGTGGAGGATATTAGATTTGAGGTTCATTGATATCTGTATTTTCTGTATTATTTCTGCAGTAAATGCCTATATATATGCTGTTATTTCACATTCACATAATGTTGCTACAAGCACTGTCTATCTAGCTATTGTTTTTATCGTTAGAACATATTTCAACTAATTGGAATATTTTGGAAAAACTCCTCCCCCCCCCACTTGCAATTTCACTCCTTTAAGGGATCAGATTGGAACCGTTTTCTCACTGAAGTGAATCGGTTCTTTTTAATAATTCACTAACTTAATACAATGACCTTGATGAATGCACTTGGAACAGATGTGGATCAAAAGTGGTGTCCAAAGATGGGGGAAAAGTGGAAAGATTCGAACAGGGAGTGGGATCAGTGGAATCAACTCAATCAAATTCTGGAATAAAAAAATGCTAAAAAAGTAAAAAATAATGAAAACTAAAACTCTTTTTTGTTAAAAATGACGTTATTTTGATACTATAATTGATATTATGTTGCTATTACAAAGCACAGTGTAAAAATAAATTTTTAGATTTGAATCGGATCCCAAAGAACAGGAAATTATTTGCTGACAATACTGGCATTTTCCTTTTTAATCTAATTTGACAAAATGTTACCAAATATTGCTCAGGGTTCTTATATGCGGTAGGGTCAACAATTTGTTCTGCAACCTTGAAAAAATACATTAGGTAGAAAAATTTAGGTTTATAAATATATACTAATTCTAAAGAAAATTAAAGAGAAATTCACAGCTCTTGACTAAAAGATGTGAGTAAAATAGGTAAATAAATAAAAATGTAATTTATTATTTTACATAAATGTAATAATATGTATAAAAAGTAATACCTAATATATATAGTTATACAATGACGCAGTATTCGAAGAAATAAAATGAAACTCCAAGGAAGCAAATAATCAAGACTCCACCAAAGCCAGATTTTTGGCTAGAGAAGGAACACTGGAATGATGAAAAGAGATTTAATAATCATGACCTCCATAGGAACCAGATCCACGGCTAGTGAAGGAGCAATGAAAAGAGTGAATAATTAACACTCCGAAGGACCCAGATCTGCGAACTAGAGATAGAGCGATGACAGCTGGGAGTCTGAGGGCGAAACTGAGCACCTATAATCTACATACTTTAAACAGATCATCACGTTGGCAGATGATGAAAAAAAGTGCCATCCATTTGCAGACCTCAGGGAAGGGGAACAGTTTTGCTGAGATAAATTGGTTTATTCAATGTTTTGTTTTTTAAATACTGGATGGAACACAAGCAAAACAAAAGCACTCATATATACGTATATAACACACACATACACACATAAAAAAAAGGTTAGAGACATTTTCGGTAAATAATAAAGGAAAGAATGTTAGTGTTTACATAAGAGGAATCAAATTTTTGGCATGCTTCCCAACAAGAGCTCTACATGAACTGTTAAAGAACTATCACTTTGTTTTCCCTGGATCAGAGATCCTTCACTTAGTAAAGTGAATACGATCTAGAGTGGATTTCCATCTCTAGTTCAAATAATATGGGACTGCAAACATCAGAAGCTTTTCCAAGAAAACATTAACTTGCATAATTTTTCATTATTGAAAGAGGACTGAGGTAGGGCTTCCATAAGGAGGAGCCAGTGCATCTGTCATTTTTAACCTGAATAACTAACTCATCCTCACCGGCATGAAAGTCTTGGAATCAAACATGCTTTTTTGTTGCCATTTTTCATTGAATGCACATTCTGTTTAAGGTATTATGTAGAAAATTAATATTGAGGGAACTAAACTGTTATGTAATGTTAATTTGGAACAAAAACAGATTTTAAAATTTTTCATTAAGAATGAATGTAGCTTGAATTTTAGAAAAAACTAAATTTGCAATCTCACAGAAGATCTACATCATCAAACTCTAGCTACACCTACTTTTATTTCTAAACCTTACTTACTAACAGGCATAAACTGGTTTATGCATATTTAACACACAAATCCTAAAATTGCTTAAACTTAATAGTTAAACCTTACTATTGAGATAATTTCTTTAATCAGGTTGATAAATTTGTAATGAAGAATAAAAATGAAATCAAATTACTAAATTTCAAACAGCTTGTACTTGCATTAATATTAATATTGCTTCTGTTTGTTTAAGAAAATGTTATTGCTCTTAATTTTAAAAAATGCTATTCCTCTTTTTTTTTTAATTAATTTATTAATTCTAAGGTAATTGCTCTTAATTAATTTATGACAACTGCAGCTATTTCTATTGCTCTTAATTAATTTATGACAACTGCAGCATAATATAAAGGATTTGGATATGAAAAGAACATATGGAAAGAAGCTTTACATTAAATTCACATAAAACTAATTTTAAATTTTTTAATACTGTATACACTTAAGTAATGTCTGCACTTTTTTTACTAAAATTACATCACTAAAATGCAGATGCAGACATTACATGGGTTGTTCAAATGTCATGATTTTTCTTGTGAGTAATTTTGGCTTTTAAATTTGATTTCAAACAGCCATGTTAAGTTCTGAGTGGAAGAAAATGGCATGAGTAATAAAAGTATCAAATTTAAAGTTGTCTAATAGCTACCTAAAATTTACAGTCTCACTTTCTCCCACGCACATATATAAATTACCTCATATGTTATGTTATCAACACTCATTGCATATTAGTTCGCACATATAGAGGCACAAATTAAACAACACTTGCAAGTTTAATATTTACTTTCATGCAAATTAAATAAACGTTGAATCTCTTAATATCTTGCACACATTATTTTAAAAAAAACCTGTTCTGACGCACTGTAAGAAAATCCATTTCGTTTCATCATTCCCCGCAACCAGCCTTCCCTTGCCTTGAATTGCGATGTAGGAATGTCTTCTTGTGCCACAGCAAGCGCTCTTATTTGGTACTTTACCATGTTACTGCGTACCCTTGAGCACGCATATCATGAACATGCACAGCTACTTTTTTTATAAGTTCGAAAACTTACATTTCGAATCATGAAATGCACGTCTTGTTTTGTTTGCTGCTGCCAGTTGATCATGCTATTTGCTCCAATTGAGCACACATTTTTGTCTACCTTGCTGCTGCTCTTTTTCCATTTTCCTGTGCAAATTTTAGGATTTTTGGTTTAAAAGCCGCTGTAGAGCTGCTGTATTTTCCCATTTCAAGCACGCTACTTGCTAACTACCACAAATTCCAAATGATACTATGAATGAAAACAGAAGGGTTGAATGTGAATGCTCCAAGGAGGAAGGAGGAGAAAGTAATTTCATTACAAAACAGTATTTCCTGGAAGCCAGTGTGGTGGAAACCTGTTTGGACTGCCTTCATTTATTATTGCATCTGCTCAGTGGATTGCTGGGGTCGATGTTATGACTGAGTAACAGCTGCACTAGAATGCTGTCTGCTTTCCATCTTGGCACCAACCAAAGACAAAACAAAAGCATAGTCTGTCTTTAAAGATGACAGCATTGTTCAAGTTATGCTGAGTGCACTGAAGCAGCTTCTGTAAAATGCTTTTGTCATATGCTTTTGAAAGGGGACTGGATTACCTGAAAATAAATATTTTGGAAAATAGTTACATATTTTTGCTCTGTTTATGTTGATTTTTTATGCTTTTATTCTTAATTTTTATTTAAATTTTAGGTCATGTTAAATATGCATATTATTGTAATAAGAATAATAAACCGTTAAATGCTACAATTTCTGCTAAAACTGTACTTCTAGGCTTATATTAAATCACTAAATTTCTTTTTTTTTTTTTTTTTTTTTTTTTTTTTTTTACACATAATCAATATGTTTTATTTATAGGTATTATTGCATTAAAAGTGAAAATGATGATAAACATGTAAAAGCTAAAACTGAAGAAGAAAAAGTTAAAGACAAATTGAATGAGGTTGTAGTATATTTTCTTTCATATTAGAATATATATATAAAAAATGTAGGCATTAAATATGTGCAGAAGATATAAGATCTTGTTTATTAAATGAGTAAAACATTTCGCAGAAAAAATAGATTTAATTTTTTTGAATATGGCTATACTTATGTAGCTATCATTTATTTTAATTAAATAAGTTAGCATTTGTATTTATGCAACATATCTGTAATTAAATTATAATGATTTTTTTTCAGTTGGAGTTTTCTATGAATATCCTTTCTGCCCTTTTTAATGTATATGTTTAGCATATTAAATGCACATATTCTGTGCCATCCAAGTTATTGGAAATGAAAACACTTTTTGAATGATTTAATTATCATTTCAGCTAGAATCATGCTCAAGCGTCTTTCACCCATCGTGCAAAATTATGTCCGGCTTTCTAATATTACCACCTTTGGTTTTAGTAGGCAAATCAGTATGTATCCATTCCGCCCAATACTTGCTCATATTAACCTTGAATGGCTTATTTATGCTGACATCCAGTGGTTGTAAAATGGATGCCAGCCCTCCTGGGATCACAGAAAGTATTGTTTTTGAACTTTCTGCATGCTGTTTAGAACTTCTGAATGATGGGGTCGAAACATATCCCAAATTAAAAGCGAAAGTTTCCCTAAAAGTGAGCCTGTTTTTTTGCACCACACATTTTGAAACCAGTCAGTTGTCAGGGTGTCATCCATCCAACCATTTTTCTGGGCATGAACAAGAACATCTGCTAGAAATGCAGTTTTTTTGGTAACGTTTTTCACTTAAAAATAATCACGGGAGGCAACTTACTGCCATTTGCTAAACAGGTAAGAACTAGTGTAAAACTAGTTTTCTCATGACCAGTTGTTTTTACATGAATTGTGTTTTCATCCTTTTCATCAACAGTAAAATTTTTAGGGAGGTCAAGTTTGGAACATTTCAAAATTAGTTATTTTTCTTTTTTGGGCATATACTTTTAGAAGTTTATTTATTTATCTTCAAGTTGACTCGGCAATTTCTTTGAAATTTTGATACGATGGGTTAACATAATTCATATCAATTCGTGAATCTTGTGCACCAATGTTGTGATACACGGAAAAAGTTATTTACAGGAACAAATTTTTCATCTTTTGTGAGTTTCATAACTCACAAAATGTCACAGTTTACGTTATGACGTAACCTTGCCATCTGTTGTCTAGAATTCAGTCACTTAAAGCTTTTTCCAGTTCTGGAAAAGACACCAATCAATGACGTAGAGCCTTTTTTGATTTAGGGGTTTTCTTTAATATAGGCACATTTTCCCTTCAGTCACGAATCATCTTCTCATTCACACCGAACTTACATAATGCAATACAGTTGTTCGTACTTTCCACAGATGAAGCTACTTTCAGCTTGAATTTTACAGTGTAAGACATTCTCTTTTGTTTTACACAACTCATTACAGGGAGTGTGTCTTTCTGAAAAGAGCCTTTTATTTGTAGATTCTGCTAAATTAGACATTGTGAAAAGCAGGAAAAGTAAAAAAGCATGTGTACAATCAAGATAAATAGATAGGTAGACATTCGGTGTGGTTACAGTTACTGATAATAATCAAAGAGTGCCTCACAGATATTGTACATAATGAATTGCTCTTTGACGTGCTCTTTGATGTCAGATATTGAAATGAAATTGGGAGGAACTTTTCTAATAAACAAAAAATAAATTCGAAACAAATTTAATAAAAAAAAACTAATAAATAAAAATTTTGTGTTTTTCCGTATGAACGATATACTTAATAATCAAGCTCGCCGATGTATCATTGATTGGCGGCGACGAATCTTTTTTTTTTTTTTTTTTTTTTTTTTTTTTTTAAAGCTTATAAGTCAATATCGTACTTCAAAGTTTGATTTTTTTCTTAAAATTGTCAACTTATGCACCAGAATATACAGTATTTTTATTTCATTTTGTTTTAAGTGTGCACTTATTTATGCTCATACATGGTTTTTTTACAGTTTTATATCTCATTCATTCGGGCCTAAGGTCCAGTCTGTTATGTATAAGCAAAACTAAAATGTTCACTCACTTTTAATTTAGTCTATTCAAGATTTGGAAACTTTATACTCAAACCTGTTTTTGTGTGGTGGATAGGAACCCGTAAAAAGAAACATATAAAAAAAATCGCACAAAACTTCACAAGTAGCTATAAAAAATACTTTTCGCAAACACAATTAAAAAGTTTTTTTTAATGTGGTGAATAGGGACTGCATAAAAAAATCTCATGTAGAAAATAACTCAAAACCTTACAAAATAACTAGGAATTGCTTTTTTAAATGAAATCAAGACACAAGGCTTGGCATCTACTTGGAATCTTGCCAAACCTTTTAGAATCTAATTTAGAAAATACACATGCAAACATTTAAAAATATTTTATTTATATATGTACTTGTTGTACACATACAAAACTTTTCAAAACATATAACCAGTATCCTTTGTAGTCTGATAATGCGGGAATTTTCTTGTGATAAACTGATTCAAAAACTCTTTTGTCACTTGAATATACTACCTCGTACTCGTTTAGAGTTGACTTTTTTCCACTTACCATGTAGTCGGTGATCAGTTTTTGCAACAACTGTTGTTTCGCTAGACACTCGTGTATATCTCGGCAGCCAGATATACAAGATTGAAGCTCCTTTTGGAATTTTGAAGTTCTTTCAGAATTGGCTGAAGCTGCTTTTGGAATTTTGAAGTTCTTTCAGAATTGGCATCGATTGCAAGAAAAATATTGCGAAGTTCGAGTCCTGCATAAATTTTATCTACTGTCATATAATTGTATAATTATATTCCAATTTGATTGAAATTTTCATATACCATAAAAAAATATCGCACAAGAAAAAGATTTGAGTCTTTTAATTATGAAACATTGTAACATCATCAGTATGTACCAGTCAGCCAAACTTTGATATTGTATTATATCAGCCTTAACGAGAAATAGGAATTTTTCACATAATCACCTTGAAGAGAAACGAAAAGTTACCAGCCTATACATGTGTATGTAGTTTATCTTTCACATATTTTGTTTTTTTTTCAGTACTAAATTTTTTTTGTGTTTAGAATTGCTAAATATTTCAGTACTGTTCTGCTATCAGGAACAGATTCAGGAAATGTAGGAATGTATGCATGTGTGTATTTGTGTATATGTGTGAATGTATATACACACATGTATTCGTGCTTACATATATACATGCAAACATGAACACATACATACATGCAAGCATACGTACTTTTCTGGATCCGGTCCCTGATAACAAAAACAGTACCAATATTCCATATGCTTAACTCTTTTCAGTATTCCATCAAGAGAAAAGTATATTATAGTTTTATTATTCCCAAAGAAACATGTTTTGTTTTCTAAAAGAATTTATGAATATGGTAACAATATGCAACTGTATTTTGGAAGGGAAACCATCTAAAGTTGCAGTAACAGCAGTTTGCAAGGAGGGTCTTCACGTAGTGAGAGGTTGAATCAAAAGTACAGGGCTTGCCATTACCTGGAATCTTACCTAGCAGAGATTATGTTCGGGCTGCTGTGGCCATCAGAAAAGATCTTTTTAAATGAATTTTGGATATGTTCTCTATGTTATTTTGGTTATGTTTCTACATGTATTTGGCTCATTATTAGCATCAATTACTGAACTGTAGCCACTGGAAAATGTCTATTTAAAATTAACTTCAAGCATGTTTCTCTATATTATTTTAAATGAATTGCCTTCAAAATTGTATTAAATAAAGTAATAATTTGCTTCTGTGGGTATATATATTAAATAAACAGTGTACAGTAAACGCATTGAATTCCCTGTCTGTTTCTCGTCAAGGCAGAATTTGCCAGTTTTCGTTTCTCTCCAAGGACTCGTAAAAGAGATGTGCTTGAACCTGTTTACATAGATAAGAGTAATAATTATCCTAATTCTACAAACAGCTGCACAATGTATCAAGTACTATATTAATTACGGTTTTGAAAATGAGTTTAATGCTTATGTTTATTTTAATTATGATTTTTTACTTTCCAGGATGTAAACATTAAAGAAGCAACCAAAGAACATAAATCAAGGTAACAGTTGTTACTAATATGCATGTTATAGACATGTTGTTTATATATATAATTTTACAGGAGATGGCACCAATTAATTTTTTTAATCATGGCTGGAGTGGTGATAGTGTGGCATATATGCTGATTGCGTCATGACCAGATGGAAATTTGGAAAAGCCACAAATACTTGGATAATTACAATATAGCTTTTATTTTTTGATGACTTATCTATCGAGACATATCTTCTTGATTAGCACAATATTATGGGTGCTATAAGCACCCCATAATTTTATATACACTGATCACATTTTAAATAGTAGAAGGTACATTTGAGCAAAGAGATGTGCATTGCTCAGGCAGGAGTAAGCAGAGCGAGAAAGTGCATATAAAGCAGCTGTAGTATTTATAGGATCGATTCTTTTCAGTTTTAAATAGTGATTGTGTATGAGCTTTGGCATTGCAGATTACTGCAAGTGAAATAGTGATGTAGGATTACTGCAGGTGAAATAGTGATTTCTTGAAGGGAATTGTATCTAAATTAAAAACAGGAATCAAAACGGCTAGTACTAAATTTAGTAATTTTCTTTCATATTTTATATCTTACATGTACAGAGGGCATTCACACAATTTTGTAACGATTTTGCAAAGATTTATATATAAACAAACCTTAGAATTTTATTTTCTGATATGTTCAGTCTAATAGCCCTTTTCTTTTATTATCATATTACATCTTGATTTCCAAGATAAAAGTCCTTTTCTTAACACATAAAGGTTGATTTTATTTCGCTTCTCCTTCACAGTCTTTCAATGTTTTGGAATGCCACTGTGACGAATTTGAAAGACAAGAGGTAGAGTATATAAATTTATTTGGGTTCTTTTTAAGCTAAATGCAAAAAAAAATAAAAAAATAAAAAAACTTATAAAATATCGTTCTCACAGTAGGGTGAGGGAGAAATATATAAAAACAACCCGACAGTGTAAAGAAGGTCTCTGTTTAGAATTGATTCAAGATGACAAAAGTTCTGTTTAAAAATAGTTTAAGATGTGGCTTGAACAGTTCTTTTTAGAATTAATTCAAAATCACAAAAATTCTGTTTGGAAATAGTTCAAGATGAGGCTTGAACAGTTCTTTTTAGAATTAATTCAAAATCAAATAGTTCAAGATGAGGTTTGAACAGTTCTGTTTAGAAATAATTCAAGATCGTGAAAATTCTGTTTGGAAATAGTTCAAGATGAGGCTTGAACAGTTTTGTTTAGAATTAGTCGAATCTCTTGGCTGGTGGTTGCCTGTCTGAGCTGGTTCTGAGCAGGATGCTGTCCTGTAAGATAGTGGTGAACCTGACTACCTCGCACTAAATCTCTTGGCAGAGATGCTAATATCGCACTACGCAGCACGAAACAAAATTTGCTCATGGCCGAGCTGGAAAACACGAGCTTCTTCTTGATCTTTCTAAGAGTGCCTCTTGATTGGTGAGAGCATTTTGATTAAAAACTGGGAAAGACTCTGTGAGAACTTTCCGGTTCCAACTGGCGACTCAAACCGGGTGGTCTGAGACAGTGCACCTATAAATGGATGAAAGTGAATGGAACAATGTCTCCCTTCGGACAACTATTAGCGGAACAAAAACTTGAGCTTATTTTGTGACTGCTGGTCACTTCATCTTTCCGAGAATTTGTTAAGAAATACTCTTTCCATGGGAACATTCGAAGTTGCCATTCTTTTTCTCAGAACTTTGTGGCGGTCGATAAAATAGCGTAAAACGTTACACTGCTTATAAAGAGCATGTTTTAAAAGTTCAAATGCACAGTAATCCATAGGAGACATATCATGAGACTTAGGTGGGATGCATTTAAAGGGAATAGCTTCAATTGTGGATTCATTTCTCATTTTTTCATTTTTGAAAATTTTTTCACATTTGAAAAAATAGAGTAGTATATTTAGAGGTAGAGCCTTACCTAAAAGAACTTAACACAGTAAAGATGGTTTGGATAAAGAGATGGATTTTCTTCTTTAAAAATTGATTTATAAAACATATTTCTGATTGTAATCCGAATTAATTTTGACTCTTTTTTACTTTTCTTATTTTTAATTTCTCATTATAAGGGAATCTAGTAACACCATAAAACTTCCTTGTTTTCGCAGAACCAATGTATTAAGTTCTTTTCTCCTCTTTTTCAGTAGTAAATTGATCTTTTTCTGTTGCAGTCAGATAATTATATCCAAGCCATATCAATTGTAATTATATATTTCTATTTTTCACTTGCCAAATTATTTTCATGCAGAAATCTGCATGTAGTCTTATGCTGAGAAGAGAAGCGTGTTTTGGTGTGAGACGATGATCAAGTTTTTTTTTTTTTGTTTTGTTTTTTTTTAATTAGCTTTAAATCAGATTTTATTATTTTGTTCACAGTTCCTACAGATATATTTAAAGATTTTGAAATAGCAGGGTGGCTGGATTTTCCATTAAAACGTGAAATGCAACTTTAGATTTAATAAGAGCTGTACGTATCTTTGCTGGCTATGCATTCTTTGCCTTTTTCCCAGTCAGATGTAAACTTTGCCATTTCTTTCCTTTCACATTAATTATGTCACTTATGTGTTGAAATATTAAAACCATGCTTTTCACATCTTTTAAAATAATTGAATAAGAGTATTTCTCTTCAGACAGTGCAGAAATAGCCTTTACGCAACATTTTTAATGCTGCAGATGAAAAGAATATTTTTAATGCTGCAGATGATATTATTCCAATTTTATGCCAGTCACGCTTGTATTTTAAAATTAATATTTAAATTTATAAAGAAAATCAAAATGTGTAAACACCCTCTGTATATGTGATAATTTTATAGATGTTAGCACTGGTATTTTTTTTTACTTCTTAGTCATGGCTGAGATGTTTAGACATGTTGCTGGCATCCAAACAGGATGCATAATAATGTATGGAATCTGAGAAAATCACACATAGCTGGATATTCACCATATAACTGTATATCTTGACGAATAACCTATTAGAACGCATATTTTTGGTTTACACATCACTACGGGTGTGACAAGCTCCCCACGTTTTATATATAAATTATTACATTTCTAGACAACAGATGATATTGCAAAGCAATGAGACATGCACTAAGATGACAAAAACAAGTATAAAAGTTGAGCGCGCATTCAGAGTTATTCAGCAGCCAAGGTTATATATATGTAAGAGTAAAATCTTTTGTTTAAGTTCTGATATGCTATTGTACAAGAAATGTGCTGCATTGCAGATGACATAATGCAGGTTAGTCTATCCATTGATGCAGTTTGTAGTCAAATTAAAGTTATCAATTTTGAGTTTCATATTTTTTTCTTTTACATATATAAATACATCATGCCCACAAAAATCCTTACCCAGCCTTTATTTCTGCAACTGTTTATTTTAAACATATACTTCCAACTACAAAAGTATTTTAAATGACTTAAATATCATTGTTTTGTCATTTTTAAATATGAAGAAGTAAATGTAAAAATTATTAAATCTGAATTTTCATATATTCTTCTGGTCATTGTATTTAAATTTAGGAAAATGTTGTAATTGTTAGAAAAAAACGAAAATCGAGAAAGTGTTACTCTCATAAGACAAATATCGACGAGATATTTAATTATAAAATTTGCAAACTTTGATGTAATTCTGAATTCTCATTAATCAGTTAATAAATAAGAGAGAATAGTTCCAGGTTCATTTATCCCTCTTAAATGCCATTCAGTGATATTCTTACCAGTGTGTTTAATTTTTAATTTGGTATATTTGATATGGAAAAGAATTTTCATACAGGTAATTTAAAAATCTCCAAAATCTAAGAATGCATTATATTAATATTGTTATGAACTTTTATTACTAGATCTCCGTTTTGGAAAAAAAATTATAGTGATAAATAATTTTTCACCATAATCTGCTCAGAAATGCTCATCGTTTAACCTGTTAACAATACAAACCTTTTCTCTTAACTAATATTTTATTTTTAGTTAAGTATAAATGCAAACATTTCACTCTTTGCTTTTTGTACAACATTTTTTATCTATAGCGACAGAAGCAAATGTAGATGATAGCAGCAGGGTCTTAATGGGATGAAAGCTTAAGCGAAAAGAGAGAGAGAGTGTCACAGTACTTCAGAGGAAGAAGGGAGGGAGTCAAAAAAGGTTTTGGTTTGCAATTATTTTGATTGGACAAGAGATATCTGCAATAAGGGTTACATATGATCGCATGATTAATTTGAATGATGCAGTTTAGACTTACAGCGCTATTTTTAGGACAGAGGTGAAGTTCCCAAATGAAATTAAAAATAAAAGAGGTTATAGCCAATTAGAATTAGAAGTTTGCTTTCACATTTCATTTTTACTTTTTTCATATTTTTTATCTTACACATATATATATGGATATTATTGAAATTTGTTTTTTTGTTCCTCCCCCCAAATAAGCACTAGCCATTATAGGCATTGGCCATTATTAAGGCCAGAAGCGGTGGTCATTTGATTATGGAGAAACCTAATAGGTGAGTCACCATTGCCTCCTGTAAAGAGATAGACAATTTGCTTTCTCCAGGATTCGAACACGGGTCCTTTGGTATGGCAGTCAGAGTCACTAATATTTTTGTTATCTGGGTGACAAAATTGGTTGATGTAACTATAATAAAAGAATAAATGGGACTATAAGATGATAGTTTTGTTATATTATTGCTAATATATATTTCTGTTTTACAGAATAAGTTTTCTGTCATAAACTACTTTTATAACTCCATATTAACATCTTTGGGATGAGATTATCATTATATTGGCCCTATCTGAAAGGAATACACACCCAATTTTTTTGTGGTGTTATTTTTCACCACAGCTGAAAAATAATTTAACCCTTTCAGGACAGGCGTTTCATATACGCATTCCCTAAGAACGCCTCTTACAGCCAAGCGTCCCATCCACGCATCGCTAGAGATCGCATTCAGAGGACGGGTGATGCATATACGCATTTCAAGCTGGAACGTTTTTCTGAAGGCCACTAGATGGCATCCTAATCATACTTTGAATGAACCAGTTTAGATCCTGACTTGGTTGATATATCTGCTTCACTTTGTATTGTATCATAGTCTTTCGAGGGTGGGAGGGAAAGCGTAAACAGAGGTGAGCTCTTTAAATACCTGTGTGCTAATGAAAACTTCGCTTGTTGATTTATATCCAATTCCTTTTTTTCTTTTTTTCTTATGTATAGCCTTTTAGGTTAGTATGTGGAGTATTGTTACGTTTTTGCATTGCCTCAAATATTTCTGCTTTCTTTATTTCGGAAGCCTCACCTCCGTTATTTGGCAGAAGTGCATTTAGATTCGAATTATTAAGAATACCCTCGTATGGTCAGTGCCATTATTAACGCAATGAGAATATGATTATTCCTAAAAGTTAGAAAGTGATACTTTTCTGAGAGTAGAAAGCATCTTCTCCGTGCTTCAAGATTTACCACTCGTTTTCATGTAAATTTTGTTACTGTAAATAGTCTTATTGTTTTTTTATACTTTTTAAACTTTTGTGGATTTATCATTAAAACTTGGAATAATTTGAATAGCGCTTCCGAAATTATTTTAAAAGATTATCAATTTTTAAGTAATTTTCGTGTAAATAAAGAAGAAAACGTTATTAAGTGCTAATTTTAATATATATAAGAGCTCAAGTAATAATCTAAAATGATACGAAAAATTGCGATGCTAGAAGCAAAACTTTTCTTTTTTTGATTTTTTTTATAAAACTAGGCTTACCGATGCAAAACCTCCGTTCTGTACAGTGACTGCCTTCAATTTCCTTCCATTCCGCACGAGCGTCTTAAGCAAAGGTGCACCGTTGCGAAAAGGTTAAGATTGACCAAGATAGTCACAAGGACATAGAAACAGAATATGTAATCCCACGTGAAAAAAAAACTGCTATTACCCACCCGCCACCAGAACCAGGATGAGGCTGGCAGATCTAATGCCATTTATTGATCATGTCAGAAAGTACTAGTGCAGTAAATATTACATAGGTCATGTTGCACATGTGTAGCATACAAAGAAATCAAAAAGCTTTTGATGAAGTTTTCTAAACACTGATTTTTTAAATATGATCAGCTAGCTACCTTCATGTTACATATGAAAGACTTAGGTATGTCAACTGTAATGGTCACGTCTTTTTATCTCATTTTCCAAGCTGAAAGGATGGGGTGAACTGTCAAGATTGATGTCTGTGGTTACTTAACCATTTGTCATTTTCAAAGGTTTTTGTATTAAGGATTCAGTCGGATTTTTTTCATCCATTTTATAGCTGTATGCCAGAACGGAAAAGAGGGCTCAGTGAAGTAATACGAAAGCTTCTGCATGAATTTGTGAAATGCTAAATTCTGTAAAATGATAAAGTACAAAATAATAATAAAATATATGGAAATTAACAACTAACAGTCTTGTAATTTCTTCCCATTATCTCAAAAACTGTATGTACTATAAAATTTTCCTTGTCTGATACAAAAGTTTTTTGCTATAAAAAATTGCAAAATGAACTATACAAATAATGTATAGTACAAATCACATTTGAGCTAATATGCTCAAATATGATTTTGTTCTTGACAGTTTTCACTCTTAAGTGTTATGTTTTCATTTAAATTTTTACATTTATTTAGGTTTAAAATTTTAACTTTTCGCAATTAAAATTTTAACATTTCGATACAATTTAAATTTTTAATCATTTCTGTAGGGTTAATTTTTATATCTTTTTAATCATTACTTATGTGGAAAAAATTTTAAAGAATTCAAATATGTTTGATAAATTCAAACTAAAAATTATGAGGGAAAATGACAGTAAATAATTTTTCTGCTTACTGTAACATTTGCATGATGTTTTTTCATTTACAAAACCATGAATGTTTGTAACCTTAAGAAAATAAGTTCATGAAATCTATGGGAAAAAATTTCAGGTGCATTAAAAAATTATAAATCAGAAAGACTAAAAATAATCTATTAAGTAACAAAATGTGGAGGAATTTTTTTAAATAAAAATATAATGGAATTAATTCTTGTTAACACTTTATAGAGGAAATTAATTTGGTAAATTATTTAAAAACTCAGATAATAATAAAACCAATGTGCTATAATACGGGGAAATATAATGATATTTTGTCTAACAGATATGTGCGTTTTCTTGTGTGTGTCAGAGTAGTTTGATTTGAATCAACTGCACTTTTAAATTTTCTCTACATAAAAGCATCTAGCAGTTAATCAATAATTCTTACGTATCCCTTCTTTTTGTAAACGCACCTCTGTAAGGATGAATCAAACTACCTAAAAGAGCCATTATTGTAAACAATAACGAACTTCTTGAAAAGGGGAAAACCATAAGGTATGAAAACCCCCACTTTTTAAGGATTTTACAGACATCAACTCCTGACTTCAAAACGTTAAATGAGCATCTAAATTGTGTAACTGTTATGTTTTTAGAGAATTCATTTAAACTAAATTATGCTGTGTGCAGAAGAGGGTTTTTGCTGTTTGTGAATGATTGTTATAGAACAAAACAATTAATTGTACTGCAAATATTGCTTTGTTAACAGTGGAGTCTGACAATCCTTTCTCTCAAGTACTAGTCTGCTTCTTTATTTCCAAAAAAAAAAAAAAAAAAAAAAAAAAAAGAGCAGCTCTGAATTTTGCTATGGGATATGATCATTCCCCATACCTAATCTCTTGTGCTGATTTCCATTATTATCAAGTGCATAACTTAAGAAATTGCCCGTTTTAACGGTACAGAAATTAATCCATGCTTCTTAGCATGGATGAATAATTTGACAGTTCATCCATGCCACATTTTGCTGAAATACATGAAAATGGTGTATATCTTATGTGACACAAAGTTTGTGAAGTAAAATAGCCTTTTAATTCCTGATTTTAATTAAAATACAACCCCTTTAGACTCTGTACTGCATCATTATTTCATCTGCAATGCGAAAGCTCTTATCCAGTCACCACTGAAAACTGAAACAAAGGAGCAGAGGTTATAAATACTCTAACTACTTCATAGGCAGTCTCTTTCTATGCTTTCTCCTACCTTAACCCTTTCACCATCCTCTCCTGTCCGCGAAAATTCCCCCATCCCCCAGCGGCCGTCTGTTTTTCATAGCGTGTAATGTTGTTTTCTCTGTACATAATACTTCCATATACTTTGTAGTGGATGGTGAATTGTCAATATATTGAGTAAAATATAAGGAAAATAAGCACATTCTGTTCATTTTAACAGCAGGATAATTTGATAACATCTGATCCAGGCGGCCACTCCTCCCATTTTGTTGTTGTAATCCTTTACAATTATTGGTTTTTTTAAAGTTCTTTTCCGTGTTCCAACATCAATCTCATCAGTTATTATGGACTGTGCTCATCAAACGTATATCCTTGTCTTTCCAATACAGAACCTCATTTTTTCTCTTTTTCTGCTGAGTAGACATTGAAGCCATCTCTGTCTTGTATCTTATGTAAAGTGGCACGAATATTCATAAAATCTGGGGCAAATTCAATTAGAAATAGAATGCCTGATTAATGCTGCCCTCTAGAAGGTATTAGAACAAACAAAAAATAAAAACTCAAACAAGTAAACATTTAGAAAGCGTTTTAAATGTTTAAAATGTAGAAGAAGGCTTGAAGCACGTTACGGCCGCCCTGCGGAAGTTTCACTTGAACTCGCTGGACGCGTTACGGACGACGAAGAGGTTAAGTAACATGCATCTCTTCACTTTGTGGCATCATCTATTATTTAAAATGTGATATGCGTATATAGAATTGGAAGAGTGCGTATTGCACCCATTATGCTGAATGATTTCTGAAGAATTATTTTTGTTCAGAAATAAAATGTGTTTCATGATCAAGCTGGCTATATCTAATTGTAACTACATATTTACACATTGTAACATCACCACCACAGCTGAAAAATAATTGGTACCGTATCTAATCAGTTCTCTCATTGTATCACATATTTGATATTAGTGTGTGTGACAAATTTCAAATTTTTTATCAGTCGAGTTTTTGATAATTTTTTTTTTTTTGATTTTTGATAATAATTATCACAGCTTAAAAATGAAATATATCATTATTTAAATTGTGATCCTGTGTAAAATACTAGAAAACAAAAGTAATAATTTTGGTAAGGGGGAAAGATTATTGGCTGATTTAAATAAATGTATATAGAATTTCAAAAATGTATTAGTTTAATAATGAATTTTTTCTTTATTCTGAAACATAAGAGATTTTTTTAGTTCTGACACTTTTTAAGTCAGTTAAATGTACTTAATTATTCTGTTTATAAACACATTGAATTACTTTTTTGCTGTAACATAAATGGAAAATAATTGACAAAAATCACAATTACCATAATGAATTTATGTATAAATATTGTTATTTTATTCTTTTAAGATTGAAAATCTTAATTAGCCAAACATTCAAGAAAAATTTGTACCTTTAGTTAGCTTTACAACAGCCACTGCAGCATAATTAGAGGAAGTTTTCCATTTGTTACAAAATTTACCCTTTTTTCTTCTGATCACTTAATTCATTCTTCCTTACAATAAAATGAAAGCAATTTCCATAATTATTAAATGATGTAATGTCATCAATTCTCATTGCAGTGGAAAACAGTCCAAAGTTTTGACAGAAGAATCCAAAGAAGCTGCAAAGAAAAAACTTCTCTCTCTTCTTTCTGAAGTTAATGTAAGTAACATATTTTTTAACCAGCAGTTTCCTTTTAATAGCTTGGCTTGGTTAGGCAGCTCTGTGTGTTTTTATGAACTGTACAATGCCTACCTATTATATTTGTGGTATGGTGGGTTCCTTTTTCATTTTGCTAGATAAACTGAAAAATTTAATTCTATTATGAAGAATAAAAGTAATATTGATAATTATTAGTATTAAAGTTTATTTGAGTTTAAAATTAATTTTACATGAATAAAGAATGAATTATATTGGAATTTATGTATTAAATCTTTCTAAATATTTAAAGCTTCTGAGGTGATTAGTAGATGATGCATATTTCATTCAGCCAAGGTTCAAGTCTCAGTATAGTAATGGATTTTTATGACTGTACTGTCTTATTGAATGGAAATACATAAAATTTGTTTATTTGAAAATTTATTCAAGATCTTGATGGTAAGGGAAGATGGGTACGAGCTCTTAGATTCCATATCGAGGGATGCTTAGAATCAAACTAGGAATGATCTCAGGAATTGAGAATATTGATTAAAACACCTGCTTCCTCAACAAAGAGGAAACATGTCCCATAAAAATCCATTTTCCCTCCCTTCCAGACTGACATTTCTACATGTCACATTCCAAACATATGTTGGCTAGGGCAG